TCAACCAGACTTGCTATTAGCATCTTGCTAGCCCACATAGCCATCACAGCTTCAATAATCTGGTATTTGGTAAGAAATCAGTTTCCAATTGAATTCCAAATTTATTACAGGAACATTTCCAATATCTTGGGCTATTGGTTGTTGACAGGGTTCTCTTATTATTAACCCTTTCAGGGTCGACAGGCCCTCTCAGAGACTTGTTCTCAGGGTCGCCCAAATTTCAAAAAAAAAAAATTATTTTTTCTTATGAAAAGATAGAGAATCTTTTCCCGATCATTATGACACCAAAAGTATGAAATTTGATGGAAAACTTACGGAATTATGCTCTCGCGAAGTTAGCGGTCTCGATGATGTTTACGCATCGACAATTTTGCCCACTTTAAGTCCTATTTTCGGCCAATTCCACTGTACTAGTCGACAAAAATCATTAATATTTCTCTATAACTTCATTTTTTCTATCGAATAAGTGCAAGAAACCACCTATTTACCGATTCCAACTGTCCAATACAGTGGTCAGAATTTAGCAATTTTGCCAATTTCACACAAATTTCAAAAGATGCCAATTTCCAAATAGGGTCCAGAATACACAAGAGACATTCCTGGCACTAAAATAAGAGATAAGATTTCGTTCGGATTTTTAACCCCGGAGGGTTAGCCACCCAGGATAACCCAAGAAAGTCAGTGCGTCATCGAGGACTGTAACTTATTTCCATTGGGGTCCTTAATCTTGTCCCCCAGGATGCGACCCACACCAGTCGACTAACACCCAGGTACCTATTTGCTGCTAGGTGAACAGGACAACAGGTGTAAGGAAACGTGTCGAAATGTTTCCACCCGCCGGGAATCGAACCCGAGCCCTCCGTGTGTGAAGCGGGAGCTTTAGCCACCAGGCCAGCGGGCCACCAAATGACATTTCCTCTGTTCATTAGTCACGTCCCAACGCCCCCCTTACATTCTTTTGCTTTCCACTTTGAATTTTTATTCTCACAAAAAATAGAAGATTTACTGTTATGCAGACTACTGCATTAGTGTAAAAAATGGTATAAATAATATCGGCGCACTTGTGAAAGAATATTAGACTCGCCAGTTGACGTGTATTGGACGCTTAGCATGATTTGTTTACTTTTGAACTTTGGTAAAAATCGAAGATTTCAGCTACTTTGAGCTCAATTTCAAGGTACTTTTCATTGTAAAATCAGTCAAAATCATCTCAATTTCTGTAATATGTCTTCCATTCTATAGAATGAGACCAGGAAAACTAGAATACAACAATAAATACCATATGAAAATACACTGCAAAATCACTGTTTTAATCCAAAAACATGGTCAGTGCTTTTTTTTCTCATTACGCACTGTGTGCTGCAGGATTTTCTTAATACTGCTCACACTGACCACATAGATCCATTCTTTCATATGTAGGCCTACCAGCTTTCTCTCACTAGATTTGAGGGCGCTAGAATTTAGGCGTACTAGTACATCAAAAACCCTGGTGCATAAGCCGTACTAGTACGGCCGAAACCCTGAAAGGGTTAAGCCTTTGGTGTCCCTACTTTTCAATAAATTTATTTTACACTTCCTCCAAAATGTCTCATTCCAGTAAGTTAAGGCTGTGTATAGATCTGGGACCTGGCCTTCCAATATCTTTAGGGTGTATACTTCAGGCATCTCTCTTCTCCACTCCAGGGTATAAACATTCCAAGTACAGTGGACCCCCGGTTAACGATATTTTTTCACTCCAGAAGTATGTTCAGGTGCCAGTACTGACCGAATTTGTTCCCATAAGAAATATTGTGAAGTAGATTAGTCCATTTCAGACCCCCAAACATACACGTACAAACGCACTTACATAAATACACTTACATAATTGGTCGCATTCGGAGGTAATCGTTATTTGGGGGTCCACTGTATATCCTGAGGCTTTCACAATGGTTAAAATGCTTTATTGACTATGTGAGAAGTAAACCATCTCTGTACATTTGCCAGATCTGATAGCATTCCTGTTATAACTGTGAGCACATAACATTCTTCACTTGAGAGGACAAGTGATAAAGAATACAGAACACAAGCATACCATCTCAAAGTGACAGCACCAAGAAGTAATATGGCTGAAGTACATAAAATGAAATATTTAGAAAAAATAGATTTGGGAAGGATACAGAAAAAGAAAGTGTTAATGACAATATGGAAGGGATAGATTCAGAGGTGTCCCCGTTTTGTAGATGTGAAACTAATGCAAAGAATTCAAGTGGATGAGGATCAGGTAGGACTACAAAGGTATCTGGACAGACTGCAAGCCTGGTTCAACACCTGGCTCCTTAAGGGGCATGTCCTACAACGAGAGGTTAAGGGAAATCATCCTGATGACACTACAGGACAGGAGGGACAGGGTGACATGATAACATAAAATACTGCGAGGAATTGACAAGGTGGATAGAGACAGGATGTTTCTGAGATGGAACACAGCAACAAGGGGTCACAACTGGAAGCTGAAGACTCAGATGAGTCACAGGGATGTTAGGAAGTACTTCTGTCAGAGTTGTCAGAAGTGGAATAGTCTGGAAAATGATGTAATGGAGGCAGGATCCATACACATCTTTAAGAAGAGGTATGATAAAGCTCGTGGAGCAGGGAGTGTGTCACCTAGTGGTGACCAGTAAAGAGGCAGGGCCAAGAGCTAACTCAACCCCTGCAACTACAATTAGGCGAGTGCACATGCATGCATGCACATGCACACACAATTGTACTCTTTCTCATTCACTCTTGTGTGTGTGCACAGTCAAACATTCCACACACAGGCCAAGTGTCAATCAACAAGTGCCTTTGAAATCTAGTAACTACTCTGTCACTCTTGCACACATGCATGCACACACTTACACACACACACACACACTTACACAATTACACACACAATTACACACACAATTACACACACAATTACACACACACTTACACACACACACACATACACACACACACACACTTACACCTAGTAGCAATCAGCGAAGAGGCAGGGCCAGGAGCTATGAATCGACCCCTGCAACCACAAATAGGCGAGTACAAATAGGTGAGTACACTTACACACACACACACTTACACAATTACACTCACACTCTTATACTGTCACTCTTGCACACTTTCTCAGTCACCCTCACTCACTCTCTCAAACACAAGAGGGTAGTAAATGCTGTGGTTGACTGGAGCAAACTAACCAATACTAATACCACTGAGTGAGCATTTTTGGAAACTTAAAAAGAGGTTACAATGAGAACAGAGTGGATGAGTAAGACCTGCCTATCATGGGCCAGTAGCCCTACTGCAGCCTTCTATTGGTATAAATTGTAAATTACACTATTGTACCATAAATTATGCTTGGAACACATTTTTCAAATTTGTCAAGTAGACTGCACTTTCCTCACAGTACAGTATTATTAATGTAATCCTGCCCCACTCTCCTTTTCTGCAGCTCTCTTTTTTAAGTGTTCCTTTACATTATTTAAATTGGCCAATACTTGCTCATGTTATAATTAAGATGGTTATGTATTAGTGTATGAATGACTTGATTCATATCTTCACGTTAGTTACACATGATATAGTATCGTGGATAAGTTTTCCAGGTTGCCTCATTAACTAGTTCCATAAAATATGCCACTACACCTTTCCTTTTATCACTGTAGAAGTTTATATGCACTTGAATATCATTCACCAGGTACAGCCCAACTTGGTACATATCAGTATAGCATTCTGAGCCGTCATACAATATACATAGGGAGTTACAATACTCAAATTTGTATCTCATGTTTAATAAATACAAATTGCATACAAAAGAGGACACTTAATGGTGACTTAACCTAGAATATCCCCCACACTTCAAAAGGATACATCAATCAGGATCCATATTTTGTTTTGCTCTTTCTCACACATCTAACTTTTCACAAGCTGCCTAAAGTACCCAATAAGCACACAAAGTTCAAGCATTTAGATGAAAGTAAAGACTGGTCTAATTAGTACCATTTGTCCAAAGCACTGCACATCATATGGCCTTGATAAAATTGCTATGTACCAACTTATATAAATCAAGATAACTATGTGCAGTACTGAATTTCCATAGATATATCATTTCCCTTCCTCTTTTTTCTGCAAATGCTAGAACCTTAGCCACATGTATGATACTACATTACCCAAGGCCAGTCTTACAGTGCTATCCAGATGGAGAGCTTAAAATCACTAAAAATTTGGAAAAAATATGATTCCCTATGTTTGAAGTTGAACTATTTAATAACTTTATGAAAAAGCCAACAATTTCATTTCATTTACAACCTATTAAAGAATCTAATATTCCACATTATCAAGAGGGAGCCAAGGTTAAACCTTCATAATCTACCACACCACCAGGCTTATAATTTCGTGCATAATACATTGTAAAAATTTAAACTTCAGTGCACAAACCCGTGTTTATTACACCTGAATGTTTCCAGCCTAGTATGTAAAAACTGTTGCAAACTTAACCAGAACAGATCGCTTATTTGCTTGCTTGCTAATTTTAACATACTTGACAAGTAACTTGACCATCGAGGCAGTAGAGACTTCGACAGTGAGTGCTACTCAAGACTACATATACTGACATAATTATCACTTACACCTTATGCTAAGTGTATAAATTTCATTAACACCTCCATTTATCATTGGTTACAGGATGACTCCACCTTTCAATTACTCCAGTGAAAGTTACTGTCATCTGAGTACAAACAGCAAGTCAGAAGAAAATAATTTGAAAGTTCGGGGAGCTCAAGAGACAAGGATTCATTTTCAAACCGATATTTTTTCCCTGACACTGGCGGTTATGTACCCGTGGGTCTCCATACACGTACACGATACTCTCAATAATTGCTTGATAATAACCAAAATGCAATTACCCTGCCGTGATAGGAGTATTATGAGGGATAAAGTCGGTGTACACTGCCCCGTCTGAGGGCCAGAGCCGCCCCGTCACCACCACTCACCATTTGGGTCCGGGATCAGCAGCGTTGTGATATTCTGCTGGTTTTGTGTCATCTTGGTCTGCTATATAATCCCCGCTAGGCTGGGACGTCTTCAACAGATCAAATGAGGCTCACAATTTGCCGTAAACTAGGCACAGAAAGACAACAACAAATCCTTCACCGACGGCAGATTCCTAAAATGGCGAGTTCATCACTCCCTTTTCGGAGAGCACATCTGCCTCGTAGGGTCTACATTTTGAAATGTAATGAATTTAATAAGATTTCGCATACATTCAGTTACGACCAAGTGTCATTAAATGCTTCAAATAACGAGATACGAGGCGAAAAAGGTGGACATTGTGTGAGACTCTTCCTGAGGAGAGTAGCTATATGATCTTGGCGGTGGGCACAAAGCTCGGCCGCTGATTGGTCAATACATGTCACGTGGTACACACCGGAATGGAACTACAGGTTACCTACAGAAAACACTCGTTTTTACCCGCACTAACCATCACTCAGACACCAAGAATAACTAGGATACATCAATATCAGTCATATTTTGAATCTGGAGAGAGAAAAATGTTAAATATGCTAGTTAAATGGGATTTTCAGACGTAGTTTCCTAAGCCCGCCAGTAGTGAGTTGTCCAGTGGTCCGGGAACGGTCCACCAGCCAGCCAATCAGCGCGCGGTCCACGGTCCTTCCTTTATGGCGGGAAAAGCACTTCATAGCAGACGTTGTATTCTTCCTTACAACACTACAAGGCAGCAGAACCTCCACGCTAGTGAAGGGCTCTTGTTCTGGGGAATTAGAGTTACTCTCCCCTTCCTTGGACTAGCCCTAAATGTCTCCGCTTCCCCGGGCGGTCTATAACACTTTAGGGTTTTCCCTGTCAACATAATGACAAATCTTTTTTAAGTTTAGTTTACAAGAAGACATTCTCAGTGTTATTTAATACAAGGGTTATTATCTAACAGTACTCCAGCAATGCTAAATTTTACAGCTTAGGCAAATGAGTTAAACTGACAGTAATGAGTTATGTTAAAATCTACATAATACTAAGGTTTCAAAGCATAAGACTAAATAAAAACTCACCTACGTACGACCCTTAGCACCTAATTCCTCGGAACATATTTAATACAAAATTTGGTTTATTTAAATAAATCATGACATATACGTAGGTAATTACAATCCACATACGTTTTATTTTAAATACTTTTTAAATTTCAGTCATACACTCTATTTAATTTGCATTTATAAGGAGTTACTCGGGAAAGATTAGATTTTGCCACCGAAGTGGCTAGTTTATTGTGCACCTCATATCCATCCTGTGGACGGTAGCACAAGAGTATATGGATACACAATAGGCCCAGGAACTAGGCCCCAAGGGGTTAACATGAATACATACGGATTTATATCTACATATCTATAGTTCACTTATGTTACAAGCAAATTTAGGAAATTTGCTTAGTATATCTGGTATCTTATTTTCATTAATAAGATATCTTGACATGTCACATAGGTTATTATACTGTCTATCTCTGTATTCCTCAATAAGTGGACAATTAAGCACATAGTGTTCGAGACAGTGACCATATGCCTGATCACATAATTTACATTTAGTTTGATCATCATCTGTGTGTCTCCCAAACTTCCAGAAGTACTTGTAACCAAGCCCAAGTCTGGCCACTACAACATCAGTCAGTCTGTTCACATTGTAAGTTGCTCCATAAACATACTTATCTACGTTCATGTTATCATAGTGGGTTATAGATCTACTCAGGCTTCTAACTGCATTCCTATAACAATCATTTTCATTATTTACTTCTCTCCTAGTAAATATTATCCCTAATGCTAGACACAGATATACCAAAGTCATATTCTTCTTGGCTAGCATATCAACTTTATCATGAAGGAGTGATCCAATGTGTGATGGGATCCATAGCAATTGTACATTAATTTCTTTGTCCCTGATTTTTGAGTATCTATACCTGGCTTCTCCAATGAGCATGTTGTTGGAGTCAATATGTGAGTGGACAGCCTTCAAGGATGACAGAATCAGTAATGATGAAAGAGTCAAGCTCAGTGTCATAAGTTAGTTTTAGCGCCATTAGGATTGCAAACAATTCAGTTTGCAGTGTAGACGCCCAGTTATTAATTCTTATGCCTAACTCAACAAATTTATTATGGTTCTTAACTAGGGAGGTGGCAACAAGAGCAGATGCAGCCCTGCCAGAAGACTCCTGTTTAGATCCATCAGTGTATATAACTTGTGATAACTTATTACTACCAGCTAGGCAAGAAATTTCTTCTTGAGCAGTTGCTTTAACAAGTTATTTAAGGAAGGGATTACTAGCAATGAGCTTCTTGGGAGGGACTTGCAGGTATGTAATATTAAATGAACACATCTTCCGTGGAGGGTGAAATACTCTTGTTGCCTACAGCGATACAGTTCATGCAGGTTATAAAACTTAATGCAATTGCACGTTTTCACAATCCATTTAGATCTGTGTGTATTTACCTCTAGACACTCGGTAAGATTCATTGTGACAGAGTCTGGTTAATTTCTCAACATTCTAATACCGAGTACAGTGTTAATCTCAACAATCCTATCATTGATACTAGAAATACCAAGCTCCTTCCTCATATTAAGAACCTTTGTAGATTTGGGACAACCAAGAATAATTCTGAGATTAACTCTGCATTAACTCCAAGGGTCGGAGAGAACTTTCTCTAGCTAATATCAACATGGGAGCAGCATAATCAATTAAGGACCTAACATAGGCTATGTACATCATTCTCACGATTCTCACATTAGCACCAAAGTTGAGGTTGTAGCCAGCAACAGCTTTGAGAGCATATAGCCTATCTATGCATTTCTTATTTAGTTGTGGAAAGACTTACTATTTCTCAAAAATATTTTAAATCCATCGGGGTCCTTATTATTAATGTAAAAAAATTTTTAATTGTGGAGTGGAAGTTTTAGCAGTAAAGGTCGAGAACCAAAACCTAGTCATTGTGATAGTCTACAAGCCTCCGGATGCAACATCCCAGCAATTCCAGGAACAGCTGTTAAAAATTGACCACTGTCTGGAAAACCTTCCAGCTCCTGCACCCAACATCTTGCTCCTGGGGGATTTCAACTTAAGGCACCTAAAATGGAGGAATATAGCAAATAATAGTGTTGCAGTAATAACACCAGGAGGCAGCTCTGATGAAAACTCACACTCACGCGAGCTTTTAAATCTCTGCACAAAATTCAATTTAAACCAGCAAATAATAGAGCCTACTAGACTGGAGAATACACTAGACCTCATCTTCACTAACAATGATGATCTGATAAGAAATATCACCATATCAAAAACAATATACTCAGATCACAACATAATTGAGGTTCAGTCATGTATGCGCGGAGCCCCAGACCGACATAATGAGATTAGTCACGAGGGACATTCACCAAATTCAACTTCAATAACAAAAACATAAAGTGGGACCAAGTTAAACCAAGTCCTAACCGATATAAGCTGGGAAGATATACTAAGCAACACAGACCCCAACTTATGCCTAGAACAGATTAACTCGGTGGCACTCGATGTATGCACAAGGCTTATTCCTCTAAGAAAAAGGAGGAGTAGATGTAAAACAGAAAGAGACAGGCGCTCCCTTTACAGGCGACGGAAAAGAATAACAGAGCGGCTAAAAGAGGTCAATATATCTGAAATGCGTAGGGAGACACTGGTCAGAGAAATAGCAAGCATCGAACTTAAGCTAAAAGAATCCTTTAGGAGTCAGGAATCGCGGGAAGAACTAAAAGCCATAAATGAAATCGAAAGAAACCCAAAGTATTTCTTCTCCTATGCCAAATCAAAATCGAGAACAACGTCCAGTATTGGGCCCCTACTTAAACAAGATGGGTCCTACACAGATGACAGCAAGGAAATGAGTGAGCTACTCAAGTCCCAATATGACTCAGTTTTTAGCAAGCCGCTAACCAGACTGAGAGTCGAAGATCAAAATGAATTTTTTATGAGAGAGCCACAAAATTTGATTAACACAAGCCTATCCGATGTTATCCTGACGCCAAATGACTTCGAACAGGCGATAAATGACATGCCCATGCACTCTGCCCCAGGGCCAGACTCATGGAACTCTGTGTTCATCAAGACTGCAAGAAGCCCCTATCACGAGCCTTTTCCATCCTATGGAGAGGGAGCATGGACACGGGGGTCGTCCCACAGTTACTAAAAACAACAGACATAGCCCCACTCCACAAAGGGGGCAGTAAAGCAACAGCAAAGAACTACAGACCAATAGCACTAACATCCCATATCATAAAAATCTTTGAAAGGGTCCTAAGAAGCAAGATCACCACGCATCTAGAAACCCATCAGTTACACAACCCAGGGCAACATGGGTTTAGAACAGGTCGCTCCTGTCTGTCTCAACTATTGGACCACTACGACAAGGTCCTAAATGCACTAGAAGACAAAAAGAATGCAGATGTAATATATACAGACTTTGCAAAAGCCTTCGACAAGTGTGACCATGGCGTAATAGCGCACAAAATGCGTGCTAAAGGAATAACAGGAAAAGTCGGTCGATGGATCTATAATTTCCTCACTAACAGAAACACAGAGAGTAGTCGTCAACAGAGTAAAGTCCGAGGCAGCTACGGTGAAAAGCTCTGTTCCACAAGGGACAGTACTCGCTCCCATCTTGTTCCTCATCCTTATATCCGACATAGACAAGGATGTCAGCCACAGCACCGTGTCTTCCTTTGCAGATGACACCCGAATCTGCATGACAGTGTCTTCCATTGCAGACACTGCAAAGCTCCAGGCAGACATCAACCAAATCTTTCAGTGGGCTGCAGAAAACAATATGAAGTTCAACGATGAGAAATTTCAATTACTCAGATATGGTAAACATGAGGAAATTAAATCTTCATCAGAGTACAAAACAAATTCTGGCCACAAAATAGAGCGAAACACCAACGTCAAAGACCTGGGAGTGATCATGTCGGAGGATCTCACCTTCAAGGACCATAACATTGTATCAATCGCATCTGCTAGAAAAATGACAGGATGGATAATGAGAACCTTCAAAACTAGGGAGGCCAAGCCCATGATGACACTCTTCATGTCACTTGTTCTATCTAGGCTGGAATATTGCTGCACACTAACAGCACCTTTCAAGGCAGGTGAAATTGCCGACCTAGAAAATGTACAGAGAACTTTCACGGCGCGCATAACGGAGATAAAACACCTCAATTATTGGGAGCGCTTGAGGTTCCTAAACCTGTATTCCCTGGAACGCAGGAGGGAGAGATACATGATTATATACACCTGGAAAATCCTAGAGGGACTAGTACCGAACTTGCACACGAAAATCACTCACTACGAAAGCAAAAGACTTGGCAGACGATGCACCATCCCCCCAATGAAAAGCAGGGGTGTCACTAGCACGTTAAGAGACCATACAATAAGTGTCA